CTCCAGCATGGTCTTGTCAGTTATCTCTCCTTATTCTCAACCTGTGATCAGTCAAATATGACTCCTGCAGCTCTTGTTGGATGCAGAGTTGCCAAGTCCGCGTTTTTTCCACAGAATTGGGCTACTTTTAAACTGTTGCCATGGGTTGATTTTCCCAAGTAGGTTAAAGGTTTGAAATATTGCATGAATTACATTTGACTGAAATGCTTGTATTGAAACATTTTGCATTCTACCTATGATAAAACTTTCATGGACTTCTACATTAACTGTTCCCTCCTGGTGGAATGACCTGCCCAGCTCAATCCAAGCAGCTGAGTCCTTAATATTTTCAAGAAACGGCTGAAAACACATCTCTTTCATCTTCATTTGACCCTCTAACTCTAGCACTCTCTATTCTAATGCTACTTCTAATTTTATCTGCTTGTTTTTTTTTATTAAAAAACTTGACACTCTAACATTTGCGCACTCTATTTTATTTATATTCTAATGGCCAATCCATCATTTTTTGGGGGGAATTTTTATTTCATTATTTATTGCACTCTCAGAAAAAAAGTTATATAGATTTGGAATGACATTTAGGGTGAGTAAATTAGGAAAAACTCTAAAAAAAAAAAACGCAGTCACTGGGGCAGTGCCCTTTCAACAGGTACTAATATGCAATAATATTTTGACATCATTTACTCACCTTCAAGGCATTCCAAACCTATATGGCTGACTTTCTTTTGTAGACACATAGTTGTTTGAATTGTAATTTGGACATTTGGAGCCTTGTGGGTTTAAATCTGGCCCAGATTGTGACCCAAAAATGTAATTGCTGATGTTGTTATTATTGTGATGCTATTATAGGTCAGTAAATGTTTGCAAAGACCTCGAAGTCCTGCCATAACAATTAGTAGATGGTAATAGTAAACATATATAAATGCACTTCTAACACCCCCACATGTGCATATTTTGTTTAACTGCTGCACATGATTAGGAGAGCTAATTCAGTTCTTCAGTTCATCACATACGGATTGGGATGAATCTAGAGTGCATCCAGTAATATGAGATCTGTAATATTAAAGTTTGAGGATGTTTCAGTAATAATGGTCTAGTGACTTGGTTTATTAATACTGATACATGGTTTTGGTGCAGTACCATGCTGTTTTTTTGGCTACTGGACGACAGGTGAGAAGGACGAAGGTCACCTCCCAAAAGTGACTGCTGAAATAAACAAACCCCTCCCCACAGGTATCGTCTGGGCGAGCTATTTGTGGAAGGACTGTCATTAGGATGAACATCCCTTCTGGCTCTCTTTCCCTCTCCATGTCTTTCTCTGTCTCTCTCACATGTCCTTTGGACAGTAAGCACAGCTGTTCCTGTGGTGGAGGTTAACTCGGGGCTCGAGGCAGGTTTGTGCACTTAGGCCACTCTTTTATTAGTTAACCATGGGATGTGTTTAAACACCCACCCACACACACAGAACACATTTTTTAAGATGGTCCTAAGAGGTTTGGTCGCATCTGGCAGCTTTAGTTTGGACTTGAAACTGAACTCACATCCCCTGCATCTGTGCAGAGAAAAGGACAGAAAATGTTTGGCGATGGATATTTCACATTAAAACTCCGTTTAGGCTGATCCAAGCTGAGATAATGTGCAGACCGGGCACTGCGGCAATGGGAATGCAAAGAATTCTGGGTAATAATCTGCCATACTGGATAAAGTTTAAATGAATACTAAGTAAAATGCTAAAGCCACTGGGAATCTTGCCTGCGGAGACAATGTGGCCCTGTAAGCCCAGCCAAAACCTTAGCATACATTAATTCCTCATTAGCATATATTAAATCCATGACTGTGAGCATAACATACCGCTGAGTGCAGGAGCTGACGCCTCTCTCTCTCTCCACACACGCGGGATGTCATAGGAGTTGGCTTGGTGTTGTTTTTCTGTGATCAAGCTAATCTCCAGTAACATTCGCAATTATTAGCATAGCAAAAGCAAGCTGAGAGGCCCGTGGTGATTTAACAGATAATTACGCCCAAACTAAATAACCTTCAGAGAGAGATATAGAGACGTTTCGGAGGAGGACAGGGAGGGATGGAGTGATAGATGGATAGACGCAGGGCATGTAACCCTGCTGGGATCTCATTCAGAGTCTAGACTCAATCTTTTGACGCCATGCTGCCATTAAACGAGTGACAGGTCATCCCTTCATTCCCCTGGGGAGAAAAGAAAGGCTTAATTTAACATTAAGGCTGTTTGTTTGAGGTGTTATTTCGTACGAGGACGGAAAAGTATGGCGGAGTAGTACTATTATCCTTCATGCACCCGGAAACAAACAAGTTTAATAACCTTATTCATCAGACAAGGGAAAAGAGCAGTAATATGGCTGAGTGAATATCAACTGAGAAAAGACAAAAAGAGCTATAAAACACCGGTGGTAAGACAACAGGCGATTGCGAGAGAAGACATTCCCCTACAACCCGCCATAGCTGCTCAGACTATCAAAGCTATAAAAGTAGATTTGGGATTTTCTGTGAGGGATTATGTATTTTATTGTGAAGCAGGTATAAGAACATCAGTGTCCTGGCAACAATAAAAAAAAAGGCCTTGGTAGTACCATTATATTTTTGATCTACCTTGGTAAATACCATAGTAAATGAATATGGTAATCATTCAGTACCATGCGGATATACACTAGCGTGCAAAATTTTTGGGTTGGTATGATTTTTTCAAATGTTTTTGGAAGAGGTCTCCTGTATTTAAATTGGTGATGTTGTGAAATATTATTACAATTTAAAATAAATTATCTATTGTAATATCTTTTATAATGCAATTTATTTCTGAGATGGCAAAGCTGAATTTTCAGCAGCAATTACTGCAGCCTTCAGTGTCACATGATCCTTCAAAAATTATTCTAATATGCTGATTTGCTTCTTATTGTTTTCAGTGTTGAAAGCAGGGGGTTTTTGTGGAGATTCTTTGATGAATAGAAAGTTCAAAATGTTTTTAATGTCACTTTTGATCGATTTAATGTATCCGTCCTTAGTGACCCCAAACATTTGAATGGTAGTGTATTTTAGAGTGTCATAGCATTACCGTCTGATACTATCACTTTACCATGCCGCCACAGGGGAATGACATCTGTCACCTGATTTTACCCACAAACCCCATGTAATTTCTCCGTCCTAGACTAGTAGCTTTCAAAACTGCTCTCGGGACCCTAAGACAATCACTTATCTTTATTTAATCATAAGATGGAAAAGGATATGATGTAATTTAACAGGAGCATTACTCCGAGGTAAACATTAGTGACCTGCTTCTCAGCCAAAGCAGTTTCGGTCAGAGGAATCAATGCCCCTCAGGGAGTTTTGAGCCCCACTGACCTGAACTTTCTGAGCCCGACGCTTGTCAGCTCTCTGGTTCTGATGGTAGATGCGGCTGAAGTTGGAAACAATGACGGGAACAGGCAGAGCGATGACCAACACCCCACTGAGAGAACAGATGGAGCCAAAGACCTTTCCTGCTATGGTCTTAGGGACCATGTCTCCGTACCTGCAGAGAAAGAGCAAGAAATAGAGACATTAGTCACTGAAATATGCACAAGCGGCTTTTACACATGTTCTTTCTTGTTTAACAGCCTAGCAGCAATAAAAAAACGGACAGATACATGATATCACACCTACACAACTGTAGCTCCTCATACTAATTATATTCCATCTGTTTGTATTATTGCATTCCTCCAAATGTAATGAATAATCACAAACTCTGACTAAATATATTCATATGGTTTTACTGAAGATTGGCACTTCCACATGCCACCTAATTAGTGTGATACTGACATTAGAGGTGCCAGATTTTAAATGCAATGAATTATTATTGAAACAGGAGGTGACAGAGGCGTGAGTGGGATGATGCTTTTATTGGAATATCCATTTGTTTAAAGAGCCATTAGTCTGCAAAGCTGTTTGTTTGGAAAGTCCTTTATTTTGACAATGATTTGGAAAGTCTTTTATTTACTAAACGATTTGTTTGGAGAGTATTGAAAATGGTTTGTTTGGAGAAAGTTTGTTTTGAGAGTTTGTTTTTTTTATTTAGTAAGCCATTGTTTGGAAAGTCTTTTTATTTAGAGATCAATTTGTTTGGGAAGTGTTTTATTTCAAAAGCTATTTGTTTGGAACGTTATTTAATTTGAAAGCTGTTTGTGTGCAGAGTCATTTGTTTGTCAGCTGAATTGTTCTGTCTGTCCCAAAGCCATTTGTTTACAAACAAAATCTTTGTCTAATGAGAGTGGAGTATAGATGGATAACATGTCCTTCAAGATGAGGCCAATATTATCAGCATGCTGTGAACCTCTTTTAAAAATGGGATGAACTGAACGGAACAGGAGCAAAAGCAAGCAGAGAATGAAAAAGTCATTTAAGATGTTTAAATTAGAGCATTTAAATCCCTCAATCCAATGCTCTGGCTACTCCAAGGACATCAAATACAATTCGATACAGTTATTTAAAATGAAAATACAATTACACGCACCACTGTAGATCTTCCTCAGCTAGTGTGATGGCCTGCCATCTGAATTAAGGCAGTGAGGAGTGGATGGACGTTTTTTTTTTTAAGATAAGAAAGTGGCTGACCAAATATCTATTCAAACAAATTGGATGGTTCAAGGTGGCTTTAGCAAAAAGGAAGACATTAATTCAAAAAGCTACAGACTGGATACTGACAGAATACTGCCACAAAGCGAACAAGAAAATAAGACAGACGCCTGGTGGAATGGAAACAATGTAAACCATAATTTACATATATTCATTGTTTTAAATGCATATGTACAAATGCTCAGAATTAAAACAGTTTTCTTTTCAGCTAATCCAAGTCCATGCAGTGACTACCAGTGAGGATTTAATTAACAATGGATAATCCTGTTCCTTCATTAAATTAATTTGGTGCAAGTGAGGCACAATTCAAACAAACACAATCAAAAAACATGCAGCCAGCCGAGAATTTGTAAAGAGACACTAAAGGTGGAATTTAAATGTCTCAAATAATAAGAATAGCTCATTAGGGGGCAATGCTGTTGTGGGTTGTTAAAGTAGTGAAGGAGATATTCAGGGTTCAATACAAGTTAAGCTCAAATGACAATGAAATGGGAGTGAATTGAGGGCATTTTTGGAGGATTTTAAAAGCAGAAATGTGAAGCTTACAATTTGGTAAAATCTAACATTAAGATTCTTATATAAATTATTCTTCTGTATATTATTTGAGCTGTAAAGACATTCTTGGCATTTTTATGGACATTTTAGAAGTTATGCTGCCATAGCAAGTTGTAAATTAAACATTTATACAAAATAATCTCAACATAGTAATTGTTTACATTATGTGGATTTACTATTAAAACAATATTTTAACCTCACATATTGGCCCCATTTATTTCCACTGTAACTGACTTACTGTTAACCCAGATTTTTTGCTTTTTTAAAGAAAAGGAGGGACAAGCCTAAATAAATTTTTGTGGTTATCAACATTATGCCACAAGTGATGTTGATTGAATATAACTCGAATTGAACTTGGAATATCCCTTTACATAAGGGTGCTACTGTACACATTCACATAAAAGCCCTCCAGTCTGACAGTTGAACAGGTTAATCGCTGTAGGCTGATGAGGAATGATTCAAATAACTCTTTGTCAACACTAGGACAAAGAAAAGGCTTATTCACAAATCTGTGCCATTATTTGTCTTATTTTTGGAGGCTCATTTAACACTTTCCCAAACTAATTTCAAGAGTCGATTAGAGTGTCATTCTAAGAGGACTGGACCGTGCCCACGTGGGAATATTTCTGAGCGAGAGATCTCGCAGTGTGTTATATAATCTAAACTAATTTACACTTTACATATGCAATATAGAAGAACACAATACAATATGGAACACAGAGATGATACACACAAAAAAGACACCACTAAACACCCAGCAGGATAGAGGGCTTAACAGCGCTGACTACACAAACTATAGGCCAAACAAAAGCTCCCTCTGGACTGAGTTAAGGATTACGGCTTACTTCTAAATGGCCCCATGTATTCTCATTCTGCTTTGATCTAAGAAGACGAATGTGTGTGCCTGTGTGCCTAGTACTTTTCCAAATTATCAGGAAGTGTATTTTGGACCTGAACAACCTGGAGCGAATCACTGTTTGAGAGAAGAATCGCACCTGAACGGTGTGTTTACCCCAAAAGACAAAAGCCGTAATTGCTTGAAATGGTGTCTGTATGAAATATTCAAAAGCTGGGATTGGGTACGTTAACACAGACAGCAAAATTCAGTTTTTATTTCAGTAGCATATTTTTTAACATAAATAAATGTCATATTAAAGTAGTTAATTTTGAATTTCATTGCTCAGAAATAATATCACAGAGAACTGCATTTCAAAGAGGCATTTGTAATTCAGCTAAATGAGAAAATTGGTTAAGGGTTTCAATGCTTTTGCAAGCCATTGTGTATGAGTGCATATGCTCAAAGCAAATGCGCTTTGATGTGAAAAATAGACGTGCAGGCTCTCGCGGCTGATGCGCTTGTGTACGCCGTTCCTTCCATGTCTCGCTTAATACAGACGCTTCAAGCAGGGCCGCATTAAGACCGCACTGGGCCCCGGGGCTATGACTTACTGCAGGGCCCCCCATCACAATAATGATATATATATACGGTATTTATACAAATACTTCAGCTAAAATAATGTTTTTTTTTTAATAATGTCTAAGTTAATACTTGTTCAAAACAATCACTTTAGCAAAGTTTGTACTATTTTCTGCTTATTTTGAAAAATAAAAGTATTATTTTTTTTTCCAAGCCTACTTGAAAAACTTAAAGCACTGAATAATAAATATATTGTACAAAGAAAATGTGCAAATAGACTGAATAGTCTTCACTGTATAAAAAAAATATAAAAAGGAAACAGTATAAACCATTTGTTTTAAACCCTGCTTAAAACGCCTTGAAATGATAAGCTTAGACTACATCATGACGCGCTTCAATCAACGATTGATATATTTCTTCCGGATTATCTCCCAAACCTTAAATGAATATAGTTTGTTCAAACACAAAAAACAATATAAATCCAATTAGTAATCAAACTAACCTAAAATCTGTGTGGACGATGACACTGTTTTTATCTGCTCCGTGTGCCTTTTTCACTTGCTGTTCCAACAACTTCCACTCCATCATCAGCTTTAGTAAAATAACCTGATAGCTGTCATGTTTTTTATGTTGTTTGTATTTGAAGTTTTTCGTTTTTTGAGCCCCTCTCTCTTTTAGAATTGCTGACATTTTTACTTAGTGAATGTTGTTCTTTGCGGGACCATTTCCAGATTACTCCAGAACAAATTTAATAGAGGTGAATGCAGACATACTGGGCAGTAATCACCTGATAGATACGTACGCATATCGTTCAAAAGTCAAAGTAAATAAGTGGGGGGCGTGGTGGCTTTGGCGATCTGCGCTCCAGTCAATCTACTCCACAGCCAATCACGGGCCCCCTCCTTGCTCGGGCCCCGGGTCTTCAGCCCCGCCTAGCCCAATGGTTAAAACGGCCCTGGCTTCAAGTATTTGAGGTTTCTGATTAGGCCATTGCAAGAGTTTTAATGGTGTTTGTAATCAAGGCTTTGACCTTTATTCATTCAGCTGAATCTTAAATGGATAAATTAGACGATAAGATGCTCAGCCATGTATTGATTGTAATCAAAATGCAGTATGCAGAATACTAGCTCACGCACATAGAAAAACTCTCTTTAAAACTCTCACATGTAATGTTTTTTTTTTTCCTGCTTTCTCTACATTCCTCTCTGATCCTTAAGTGTATCCACCTACTGAGGTTTATACCATATCTGCATATCTGCTTATCTATTTATTCTACACCTTCCTATCTGCTTCGGATCTGACTGAAAGTGGAATATTAATGGAAGAGTGAAAACAAAAGAGAGAAACAAATGAGTGTTGGTTGTTTTGACTGTCAGAGCAAAGGCATCCACACGCTACACTGAGCTAGATGTTTGTTCAGAGAGTTCACTGAAGTTTTCTTTCATTTATAGAGCTAATAAGGAGCTCTGCTCTTCTTGACATCAGGGGACTGATTCAAACCCAACTCTGGATCACAGAGAAGTAGCTCACATTATAGCTTATTGTGTCTGTATAAATAAAAACAATAATAGGGTTTGGTCCAGACTCCAGCTGGTAGATGCCATAACTACACCATTATGGGGGCACAAAGGTAACGGTGTACAGTACACTGATGGAATATTATTATTTTTTTGTAGGCAATATATTAATTGCAAACATTATGTTGTAGTAGACATTGTGCCATATATAAAAACACTACTGTTAAAAACCTTGCAGTCGGCAAGCTCTTTTTCTCTCTAATGCTCACCAAGGCTGCATTTATTTGATGAAAAATACAGTAAAATAGTAATATTATGAAATAATATTAAAAATGAGCTGTTTTCCATTTCAATATATTTTACAATATACTGAAATGGAAAAAATGATGCAAAGATGAATTTCTTAGCACA